TAATAAAAAAATAAAAAAAAACCCAGCTCTTAATAAAAAATTCAAGGGGTAAAGTATGCATTGTCGCTCCATCCCCAGGAGCAGCTTCCAGACCAACGTGTTCCGTGGGTTTTCACTGCCTTGTTTTACTCGATTAATTCAAAACCAATTCACTCTCAGGCATCCCAGCATTAGGTGCCTAAATTGACTCTGATTTCTCTGAGGGCTGTGTCTCTATGACTACAGGAGCAGCCGGTAGGAGCTGTGGCTGCTCAGGGCACCCAGCATGCAGCCGCGTGGTGGAGATCGCTGTGCACCAGCAGACAGTCCCAAATGGTGTTAGAAGCAGAAGGATGGGCAGGGGAGCCCCTCCGCTGAGCTTCAGATTGGATTGCAGGAGCAATTCCTTCTCAGAAAGATCAGTGATGCTTTGGCACAGCTGCCCATGGGGCGGTGGAATCCCCTCCTTGAAGGTGTTCAGGAACAGTGGAGGTGTGGCACTGAGGGATGTGGTCAGCGGGCACGGTGGGGTTGGTTGTGGTTGGACTTGAAGATCTCAGAGGTCTTTTCCCACCTTAACGGCTCTGGGATCCATGATAAGATGGACAAAAGCATCTGTCACATCTGGTCAGGACTGGGTCTGTTGAAATGCACCTCCAGCCAGGGGAAGCTGCCACTCCATGCTCTGCTTTCTGCATTGTCCCATGTCCTCACTTAGTGGCAAAGTGGAACCAGGGCTGCAGTGGTGCCAGCAGCAGGGAGAGCATCACAGTGCTGGAGAAAAGGGAGTGCAGGAACAAGAGGAGAGGCTCTGAACTTAGAATACTGTGTCTGGCGCTGAGATTTTATGAAGATATATGAGAGAAAAGAATGAGAAACTCCAAAACAACCAATGCTTCAGATGTTTCTTTTATCTAAAGTAGAGCGAGCTAAATGTTTTACACAGAACGAGTCCCAAGGAGCATAAATCAGAGGATGTGAGCTATGTTTCATAAAGACCTCAAAACGCAACTTCTTTACCTCCCACGTTCTCAGGCCAAGTATTTTAACTGGAAAAGCATGTGGGACAGTCAGTGTGCGTGTTGCCCGGGTCTGTAATGGTCATTCCCACCGAGGTGATGGGTTCTGTGTCTGCAGTTTGATGCTCACACAGGACAACGTGGGAGAGCAGTGAGGGCATGCAGCCCCAGGCACGCAATGCTCTCAGGGTTTGTGGTGCTGCTGTCCACCCCACTCCTGTGTCTGAGAAGGGAGGATCTTCCAAGAGCCTGCACTCAGCCGGCCGCACGGAACCACATCCTCGCTATCCCAAAGTTCAGAGCATCTGTCTTAATCAGCCTGCTTGCAGCCCGGCAGGATTTACTGCTTGTTTTTGCAGTGAATCTCTCCCCCCAAGGAGCAGGGAGGGGAACTTGGTGGCGTTAACAACCACCGCTCACCACCACGGCTCTCAGGACATCTCGGATCGACGGCCCTGCTGGCGTCACGGCCTCAGCCAAGCCGAGGAGCTGCCGCTGAGCCACTCAGCCCCGTAATGCAGATGAGCTGAGGAGATTTGGAAACGCTCCACTCCTCAGATCCTTCGCTACCCCGACAAATCCGAAGGGAAACACGCGCGCTGCCAAAGTTGTTTCTATGGGTCATTCCCGAATTCCTACACAAAACAGTAATTCTCAGAACAACACAGCAGAACTATTAAAGCGGTGCTGGTGGTCTGATGGCTTTCTCTGAAGTACTGTCTTTCAGCCAAAGTAATATAGGTTTCCTAGAAGCACGTGCCCCCAGAGGGAGGAGTCGGGGGCTCTCAAGGTGCCCCAGACAATAGGCCAGATGCTGATTCCAGCTGTGCTGTTTTAAACCCACTGTATTCCGTAGATTTACGTCAGAGCTGATTTTTCTTACAGCCGTGAGATCATTGTTCCTTTTTGAGGGGAAGGAAGGCTCCCAGCCTGCCACAGGAACCAGCTCAGCTCCAGCTGCCGTACAGAGGCTGTGTTTCAGAGCTGCTCTGTCTTTCCTAGGGCAAATCACCAAGATTCTGAGTTCATCCCATTCAGTAACTTTAAACACAGGTTAAGAAGAGAAACAGTGGGGAGAAAGACTCCACCGGCCCCCGAGCTGCTGGGCTTTTATCACTCTCCACTTATCAAAGAGCACATTTTCTGGCTAGTCAGTCATCTTCCTTGGAATCACAGAATCATTAAGGTTGGAAAAGATCTCCAAGAGCCCCAAGTCCGACCCTGTGCCAACTGCCCAACGTTCCTCAGAGCCACATCTCCACGGCTCTGAAGCACATCCGGGGTGCTCAGCTCTCCAGCTCTGGGCTGAGCTGCTGCTCATTGGTTGTGCCTGCATGGAGCACAGTCAGCACACACGGGGGGGGACGTCCTGCAGAGCAGCTGAGGGGTGGTCAGCAGGCCTGTGAGCATCACCTGCCATTCCTTCGTAGGCAAAGGATGGAGGGTCCCTCCCTGAGGCACAGATGGCCCTGAACAGCCTGGAAACAAGCAGGCCTGACTCACTGGATAGCAGTCCCATCACTTTGAGTCCCATCCAACCACTGTTGTTTCCAGTTGATGTTTACGGAGAAGCCTTCATGTCTGAGCTACATGTGCGGAGATTTTCTTTCAGAAGCCACGGAAGGGATTAAAAACAACAGTAATCCATGAAATAACTCCAGAATTTTTCTCTCCTCGAGTGTCCCAAGGAATTCCCCAGCTCCCAACCTGTTCCAGCTGGCACCACCGTGCATCCAGCTCTAATATCAGCACAGTCTGTAATGTTTCCAATTCTTCTGCTGAGGGATTACATGAAACCGAAATAATTCTTTCCATGGGGGATTACATAGCTGCTTTGTTTCTAATATTCCAGTCCATGAATGAGGAACGTTTCCTTGGGTACCTGTTTCTTCTTTGGCCATGGGAGCTGGTGTCACTGGGGACATCTAGGCATCAATCCATTTCATTAATTTCATTCCTAATCAATTAATTCCTAAAGGAACCTGATTAAATACTCTCTCTTAAGTCCAGGCTTTACATTTTGGCTGAACGCCCCGGGACAATTAAATTCACATCAATTATTGGATACAGCGTTGCCTATTTTAGTGATCAAAATGCATCCACGTGGTTAATTAGATAAAAACTCACCTTGAGGAGCCATCATCTGCTGATGGAAACGACTCTGATTTTAGGGGAAAATTGCTACTGATTTACAAGACTCTGGATCAAATGTCAGTTCTCAAATGTTTCTTCTTTTTTTCTGTTCAAGTACCAAAGTGTGCTTCGGGGATTTTTTTGGCAGGGGTTTTAGAGCAGGAAAATAGGAAATGAACTGGAAAATTTGAAGACTACAGCAAACAAGAAAATCCTGGAAGGAACACACTCTATAGATCCACCCTAGCCATTAATAATATGGAAAGATTTCATTAGGAAGAGAGAGGGGGAAGAGAGGAAGCAGAGCGCTCTTCCTGGCCCAGCCTGCAGAGCAGCACTGAAGGACCCCATGTTGCTTAGGGGTCCTAAGCCCACAGCATCCACGTGCCATGGGCTGCCAGGAGCTGCCCCACAAGCCATACCCTGGGCAATAGGTGAGCAGTGTGCTGTGCTCAGTGCATCTCGGGCTGCAGAATTGTTTTGTTCTTCCCCACAATGCATTTGAGATGACCGTCTGTTCTGTTGTGTCGCTTCCAGGCAAAGCACGCTGCATTAAAACTCCCACCACAGCAAAATAGAGCAGAGCAATTTAAAATCCCTGCTTTTGCCAAAACTTTTTGCACCGGTGTGTCACATCCCATCCATCAGAGCTTGCTGGGAAAGGCTTGCGTGCGCGTGTTGGTTTTTATCCTTTAGCAACACTCCTGCTCTCTTCTGGAAACAGAAATATCAGCAGGTGAAATGACAGAGCTGCACTTCGTGCATTTGCATGGTGTGCAGGAGGAAGCTGACTCCTTGTGCTTGTGAAACATGCAGTTACTGCAAATAAATGTCAGGAGAAGTGAAAGGAGAGCACTGGGGATGCCCAGCAATCCTCATGGAGGAGATGGGCTCTGCCCAACAGTGGCCACATTCACCAGCACTGCCATAGTGAGCTCTTCTGGGCAGCCCCCAGCACACGAGGGGCCTGAGTGGCACACAGGAGCTCCAGGTGGTGCTGTGAACTATTGACCCCCTACCCACAGCTCATCAGTTGCTGGTTCTGTTCTGCCCAGGCAGCTGAGCTGCTTCAGCATGGGGTGGTGCCTCCATTTGTAATGCAGTAAATCCATTTTCCTTTCTGACATTCAAGAGGAACCCACCCGGTTTATCAGAATGCTTAGAAAACATTTTTATTGCGATGGTTTCACCTCATCCTTCCCAATATGGGTGGATCCATAAGGAAATTCATTGCTGCCCTGGCACCAGGGGAGCAGCCCGACCACACTGCAGGCACAGGGCTGCCCATGGCCAGCTGCAAGGGGAGCAAGGCCTGATGAGCTGAATGAAGTCCAGCTGGCTCCACTCACCTTAATCAAGGCACCTGTGGCAAACTGACTAATTATATATAAGTGGGGCTGGAGAACTTTCCAGAAGGCTTAGGCTGCTGTAGGAGGAGGAGGTTGCTGCCAGTGTTCAGCCATCAGCGAGGGGACTTGTGCCTGCTCTGAGGTGTGTGTGTTCTTTGCCCCCTTTGAAGTAGGGTCTGAAGGCTTCTTTAGTGTTAAGAATCGAAGCCACACAAACTAAATATGTGCTGTTTTGTGCTTTTGTGTTGTGGCTGCGTTCAATGTTGTGGCTCACTGAAATATGCCTGTAGTTGGTGCATGTCAGCAAGGTGCTGGGCAACCTGTGGCTCTAGCAGGAACCTCTGTGATATTGGGAGCTTTTGTATTGGGAAGAAAAACTGAATCCCAACTGCTTCTCTATGGGCTTCAGGAGTTTCTGACTTGCTGCCTGTAGCTGTTAGGCTATAGTGGGGTTTGGGGGGAAGCTACTGTAAGGAAATAAGTTGTCTCCTTCAGTCTAATGGTGCAGTGTTTCTTACAGGTCTGATTGCTGCTGTTATGGGGACCCAATTTCTGGGCATCAGGAGATGTCTCTTTGCTGCAGTGGGAGAAGAAACCAGCAAATGTAAGTAGGAGAAAAGCTATTTCTTGTCTAAAAATCCTGGTGGTGGGAAGTTCTGAGGCTGGAGGTAAATTAAAGGCCAAGTTGCACTTAACTGTTAAGATACTGTTCTTTAGGAAACCTGGTTTACTGCAGGATCACCTGCTCTAATTTGGTTACTGTTGGTTCTGGAGTGGAACGTGGTGTTGTGTGTTTGGTGCTCCTGAGTTAGTGCTTTGCTCAGGAGTTAAAGGTGATGGTATCTATTTGGAACATGAAATGAGTGTAATTAGTGTCTGTTGCTGGGCTAATTAGCAAAAGCTGCTGTTGTGTAGAAGTGTAGCAGGTCTCTGCAGTGCCCCTGAGCTTGCTGTGACTGTGGGATATTCAGAATTGCTGTAGGCTTCTTAGCATTGTTACTTTGGAGTTTCTGCACGTGTGTTGCTGGTGGGATACTGGGAGGTGTAAGGAGGAAGGAGAAGTGGGGGATTTGAGCTGAGGCACTGCAGAAGACCTCGAGGTTCCTCTCCAAAGGGGTGAGATTGCACAAGGATGAGATTTGGGCTCTGGTTGTTGTGTGCTGATGCTGGACCTGGCCTGACTGTCAAACAGAGCTGATTCCTCTTCTCTCCTTTCCTCTGCATGGACTGTAAATGATGTGCAGGAGAGAGCTGAGTGATTTGGTGCAGTGTGCAATAAAACATGGAATTTGTTGGTCACTGGAGCTGACCTCAAAGGTCTTTGTGATGCTGGAGTGTGAACTGCACTGAAACCAAGGCCCTGGATGGAGTGTTAGGGTCCTCTCCTTTCTGAGAACGCAGCCATGTCTGAGCTGCAAATCCATCTGCTTCTATTACAGAAAATACAGCTGCTTTCTTACTGCGTTTATTGTTTAATTCATTCATGCTGCTTGTTGGAAACACCGTCATTACATTCCTTCTGGGGCATAGTTTGTTTTAAAGAAAACTCTCTATGGAAAAGGCTTTCCTTTAAATTTAGTACAAAAGAAAATCCCAACTAGTTTTATTTATAGATCAGGGCATGAGAGATTTTCAGTTTTTGAGCTAGCTCTGTATCTCTGTTTCTCCCATAAAAAAGAAAGTTTAATGTTCTCATCCTTCCAGAATAAAATTCCTCCATGGTAATTTTTCTGTATATAAAATGCAGCAATCTTGGTGACAAAAGCACAGATTCTTCTCATCGACTGTACTGCTGTGTTTCTATTACTGAGTGATGTGTTCTGGGTTTCTGTTGCTCTGACTGTACTGAGGGTTTGGGATGGCCATGTGCCTGCAGCTTTCTCTGTGTGTCCCATGTTTTACAGTGCTGTGTCCTCGTGCTGCCCCAGCAGCTGGCTTTGGTGGCCAGAGTGCCTGGGGATGAGTTCTTCTCTGTCTCAATGCTTTGTTTGGCTGAGCATTATAACAAGACTCAGATTCCCTTGGAAACATCGAGTTGCTTTGTGATCTGTAATTGATTCTCATTCTGAGCGGAGCTAAAAAGCTGCTGGTAATAATTGCATAGAAAACATGTTCCCCCCTGAGCATCCCCCAAAGGCTGGAGCTGGGGCTCCCATTCCCCAAGCTGCACTTACTAAACCCAAGCACTGCTCTTATTTGAGGTGTTTAAATCACTGTACGGGTGATCTCACTCCATTATTTTTAAAGAAACTTCAGTTCACTCTATTTAACTTTATACTTTAGAGAAATGAAACTATTTCCTCATCTCATTTATACCGAAGGAACCGAACTGCAGCTGAGTGGTAGCCCAGCAGCTCGTGACACAGCTGTTTCAGGGCACTGAATAGTCAGCAGTGAAAACCAGAGGCAGGTTTGGGGTGTATGGAGGAAACAGCATTTCTGGTGCTGTTGTGTAGCTGAGAGGTGGAGGATGTAGAAGCTTGTGTCAGTCTGACAGCCATGTGGAGCAGTGCTTCTCTGCAGGGCCTCTTTGCCTGGGATGCCATGAGAATGAAATGCTCTGGAAATGCCCACCAAGGTGTTCCTGCTCTGCTGGGTGTGTGCAGGCCTGCAGCTCGCTGTGCTGCTTTAGGATCAGAAATGCTTCTTGTGGCTCTTCCCTCTCCTGTGGGGACAGCCCTGCTGGGGGGCAGCACGTGGGGCAGCCAGGAGGGGCTCAGGCAGTGGGCCTTAGTGCTGGGCAGAGGAGAATGGCTGGGATGCTGGGTGCTGTGCTCAGGTCTTTGGCTTTGCAGCTCTTACTCAGGGCATCATAGCCCTGTCAAAACTGGGGTTCTGCTCCCTGTGTGGCACAGCAGGTGCCAGGTACAAGTGATGGTGCACATAAGGAGGCATTTCTCTGGTTAACTGCTTGTGAATGTTAACTGCTTGTGCTCTGAGCTGACAGTACTTTGCTTTTTTTTATTTATTTATTTATTTTTTGTGTGTGTTTCAGACTTTATTTTGCTTTTTGTGGTGTACAGAAATGATGAGGGAGGGCTGAAACTTGAGACCAATGCCTTTGATTTCTTGAGCTGCAACTTCTTAATTGCAATTATTGGTTGGGAAGCTCCTTGTCCATTTTTTCTTTTTCTTCCTTTTGATATTAAGAGGGCAGCTGAATACTGACCTCAGTGTGTGCAGGTGGTACTGGAGATAATTGATTTCTGAAGGTCTTGTCATTTGGGTGCAGTTTTACCTGCAGGACTGCCACCACGGGTGGTTTGTAGTGCCTGAACGTGCTAAAGCTGAAATCCCCATGTCTGCAAGAGGAGGAGCTGCTGTGGCCCCCCAGTGCTTCTCCATTGGCACAGCTGTGGTGCTGAGATCTACCAGGCAGGGGTTGTGTGCTGCTCTTGAATTGGGAGGGCAGGGAAGGAATGGCCCTGCAGAACCTGGTGGTGTGCATGGCTTTGTGTGCTGCTTGGGACCTTGCACTGCAGTGATGGGTACTTAATTTCTCCTTGAATTCAGGCAATGCTGCCAGCAAGCAGTGGTAACCTTTCTCAGGGCAGTTTGATTGGAGGGGATTTGGATTGATAGCATGAAAGTGAAGTTACTCTGCCATGCCTTAGCTGGGTAATTTATGAGTTTGTTTCTTCTCTGGGTATTCCTCTAGAAAGGCTATTTTTCAGATATCGAGTAAACTCTGCCATTCAGCAAAGCTTTTACTTGGCCCAGGTATCAAATTAATTTTAATTTTGAATGCTATGCCCATTGTAAAAGGGGATCTCCTGCACAGGAGGTAAAGCAGAGCTCTGTTTTTGACAGGGAATGACAAGCGTGTTTTCCTGAATGTGGTGTTTCTGCTCTTTCCTCTGTTTCAACACAAAGTCTTCACAGGAATAAACCCAGTGGAATATGAGTCACTGTAGGAACAAGCACATGGGCAAGGTGGGCCACTGCCTTATAAATGGTACAATTGTAGATACAGAAGTGCAGAGACTGCTCTGGTTGGAAAGCTGGCTGGAAAATAGCAGTCATAAGGTAGAGGGACATTTATATTCACAGAAACCATTAAATATTTTGTATATATTTGCATTTCATTTTCTAACTGCTTTTTGAAATGAAGCTTGCCTCTTCCAGCTATCCATCAATTAGTGTATCACAGAGCTGCTGAGCTCCCTGTGCTGTCATAGTGCTTGTGTGGACTATTTGCAGAGTGAAAACCAAACAGCAAGGCTGAAACTCCCATGGACTTGACTATAGGCTGATAGAAGCATGAATGGATCATGGCATCCACAAACCCAGCTGCGCACAGAGCTTCTGAGGCAAAAACTGACAGTGCTGCAGCATTTGTTGCTCCATTGCTCCCATTGGTGTACCTTGAGATTTCAGCTCATCCCACTCCCTTGAGATGTGACAGTTAATTCTTCCACCTGTGAAATAAAAAGTGCTGCAGTGAATGTGCCCGTGGGTTGGAGAGGCTTCTCCATTAGTTAAACTGGGTGCAATGGATCACCTCTGTAGTGTCAGAACAGAGCTGGTAAGGGAATGCTTCGGGGGCTTCGAGAATCTCTATCTCCCATGTGGTGATGAAACCAAACCCTTGTAAAGTAGAACAGTAAATATGTGGGTGGGGGAGGAAAAAAAAAAGTAGCAGAAGGACTAACAGCCTCGAATGGGGCATTGCTGTGCTGTGCACAAGAGGCTCAGTGCTCCCTTCCCTGTGCCTTAACCGCCGGGCTGCTCGGTCCTGTCTGTGCGCCTCTGCTGGGCTGAGCGGTTCCGTGTAGCTGAAGCGATACCGGGGCGGAGACGGGTTTGCCAAACCGCTGCTTTCAGGTGCTGAGAAGAGCTGCTCGGTTCCCGAGGCGCTGCCCACCCGGAGCAGCGCTGCAGCGGTCCCAGCCCATGCGTGGAGCAGCCCCGCTCCGTGCGCTCCTCTCGAGGAACCGGGGTGACTCATTCTTCCTGGACACCATCCATCTCGCATGGAAATCGATGAAATTCTTTCTGTTGCGTTTTAACACATGTTCTCAGAGTTACTTTCTGCAGTAAGTCTTCATTAATTTGTTAAATCTAAATGAACTCCTGGTCCTGATGGCTTTCCCTTGGGCTCAGGCGAATGGAGGCAGCGCCGGGAACTCTCCAGGCGCCGTGAAATACTTTCCCATCCCTGCTTATGATCTACCAACCCGAGGACAGGCGCTCTTTGTGCTCTGCGCATTATTCCACGGGAGCGATCCCCGTGCCTTAAGGCAGAAGGGAAGCTCCGGAGGTGGAAAAACCGGGGGGCTGCGGTGCGCCGTGGGGAGGGGGCGGGGGTTCGGTGGGTCCCCGTGCGTCCCTGTGCCATCCGCTGCTCCCGGGGGGTCACACCGCACCCTGCTGGTGTCATTCCTCAGCCCCAGTTATGCTCCCTACTGCTTTATTATTATGATTTTTAAGCTGCTTTGTATTAAATTAATAAAATATGTTCGCGTCCCGTCGGGTCCCTGCTTGCGCCCTTTACGCATCTTTGTAAAAAGGAGCTGCTCGTAAACGGGCTGCCGGCGGCTCTTTGCAGTTCATCGCGTTTGCAAAAGGAGTTCAGCATCCTCGTTTCGTTGGGGTGGCTGCCTT